ACTGTCTGATTGTCTGCTTTTCGGGTCTGACTGTCTGACTGTCTGCTTTTCATTTCGGGACCCAAACGCACGCTCTCTCTTAATAGGAATAGGAATATTAATGATCCATCAGACCCCCCGATCCAAAGATTGCTGTTGATACAAGAGGTCTGAAAAGCAGGCAAGCCTAAAGCCCCGGCCTTATTTATGGTTTAGTGTGGGACTTTGTTCCACTAGTTATATCTCCCTTGTAACATATTCGGGTTTAGGGTTTAGGTAGGGTTTTGGGCTTTGAGTTTGGGTTTAGGGTTTAGAGCTTAGGGTAGGACATTGTTTTCATTAAGCATATTGAGCACCCTGAGGACTAAATTCCAAGCCGACATGTGTAGCGCCTGAACCTCATTTGGTCTTGCAGGAGTCTGTTGTACATGGGTTGATGGTGAAATCCCACATGATGCGAAGTATTGTATAATACGACTGCTCCTACTGAGTTTGGGTATATACGGCTATGCAAGATGTTGTCTAGCAACTACTTGGGCGTCACACAGCTTGAAGAGGCAGGGTAAGACCTCAAAAAGTAAGCCCGCAATTCCCATCTTAAGCCTAGTTAGGTGGGAAACCATAGACCCTTAACCCTAGAACTATCCTGAGGTCACTTTCAATTACCACTTTAGATCTCGCTACATTTTATAACATGCCTACCTTAACCGGCACGGGCCAACCCAGGCTTGAGTTTCGGGTTTAGGGCTTGGGTTTAGGGTTTAGGGAAAGAAATTAGCGGTTGAGGGTCCCAACCATAACCCTACACTGAGAGCCATGAACTCACGTAAGTACATAGCCACATAGGGGTAATGGAAAAGAAAATGGAAGAAAGCCTTACATCTTTTAAGGGTTTACTTACTTAGCCAATAGAAGAGCTTTAACCTTTTGGGCTTCCTTTTTGGGGTCTTTATAATAAAGCTTTAACTTTTTTTAGCTTTGGTCATTGGGGAAGAAAGGTTAGGGTTTAGGTAAGGTTGAGCTACTGTCAATACTCGGCTTGCGGCCATTAAGGGTGGATGGAAACAGGGGTCTCTTTGGTTGTTTAGTATAGTTTAGGTTGGGCCGCCACCCACTAATAGTGACCACAAGAGGTAATGGTAAGTATATTAAGGTCCTCATGTATTCCTAGTATACCGCTATTAGTGGGTGGGGGCCCAACCCACAGTATAGTCCCTACCATATTCCTTAATAAGGATCCCACGTCCATCTATTTACTGTATTCCTTAATAAGGAACTCATGTCCATTTATTCTCTAACCCTAAACCCCAACCCCAACACCCTAAACCCCCAAACCTTAAACCCTAAACCCCCAAACTTGGAAACCCCAAACCCCAGACCCTAACCCCAAACCTTAAAACCCCAAACCTTAAAACCTTACAACCTATGAGAAACACTGACAGTAGGCATTTTCTCAACAAAAAAAAGGCCTTGGGCGCCCTAAGGATACAGAGGCAGAATAAGAGGCACAACCAAGGATTTGGGAATTTCTAGGGATTGATTTGAGATTTATTACATGCCTGACCCCCTAAACCTTAAACCCGAAATCCTCAACCCCGATCCCCAGTCCTCAACAACTACTTTCAGAATTTACCTACTCCCAAACTCCCAAACTTCCCAGACTCCTGGGAGGATCTAGAAGGTAGAAACCCCTCAAGGGTTCCTGCAAATGACCCAAGTGTAGTACAGAGTATCATATGAGGGGACTCTGTTTTTTTTTTCCTCTCAGGTTCTCTAAGCCATAAATCGTAAACCCTAAACCCTTGATTCAGGAATTTACAAAACCAACAACCAGCCGATCAACTCACCGACGAAGCTGTTTTGCTTCGCCGCTTCCACTGCCAAAAGCAGAACTTTCAATTAGAATTTGGGGTTTAGGGTTTGGTTGGGATTGCTTAGGTGGTGACTAGAAGGGATAACAAGGATTATGTTAGGGTTTAGGGTTTAGGGAGAATACGGAATATATTAGGGTCCTCTTGTATCCCTATTCTATCACTATTGGAGGGTGGGGGGTCCTCCTAAGAGATTGCTTTAGCAGGATGTGCTGGGGCTCCTAGAGGGGTGATGTAGAGGTCATACAGCGATATGAATGGCTTAGGGTGTAGGATTCAGGGTTTTGGGCATGAAGCTTGGGTGTAGTGAGGGAATTCAGTAGGTTGGGAAAGCTGCCTTGAACCCACGCAGTTTAGGGTTTAGGGTAATTAGGACTCCGTTCAGAAAGTAGACTCAGCATAGGCAGAGCTATGTTCATGATATGGTTTGTAGGGCGTGACAAGCGCAGCTACTAAGTCCCTTGACACCAAACCCTAAACCAATACTGGCTAAGTCCTAACCTTCCAAGGGAATTGGTTCTTCAGCCTCCAAAGAGTTAGTTTCAACAAATTACCCTAAACCTCATGCCCTTGAACTCACGGTTTCTGCCCCTGAGTTCACACTTATTTAACCTTAATTAGGCATAATTATCCTTAGATAGCCTTAATCAAGGGCTGGGGGTAGATCCCCTTCCTTCGTTTAATCCCCACAGAAACCCTAGGGTCCCTTAGACCCCCCAGTTGAATAGGCCTTCATGTACGGACCAAAGGGGGTTAGCAGCCTTATTTAGAAGGATTTTGGGTTTAGGTTTTAGGGAAGCCTAGACTCTAGACAATAGCAAAACTAGCATTGTTTTTCCCTTCTTGCTATCTATGAATACTTGAAATGTATCTCCGAAACCTTACTCCGATGATTTGACCCCGTACATTAGTCATTTGGAATGCAAACGTGCATTCGGAGGAACCTCGGATATCAAAGCTGGGTGGATCATAAGAAATGATTCTTAACATTTCTTTTACCCCAAAACCCTCAATCTTATTTCCTCTGCCCTACACAACCCCAAAGGTTGAGGCTTTATGATTTAAGTGCCCCCCTGATTAAACCCACAGCCCAACCCAAAACCCAAACCCGCACATCCGGTGCGCCCAGTGCAAACATGCCCCAAACCCTAAACTCTTATCCCTAAACCCTAAACCCCTCAATCCCAAACCCTAAGCCCCAAACCCTAAACCCTAAATCCCTAAAATGCCTAAAATGCCCCCTGAGGTGGCGGTCGTCTCGTTTACAACAGTCATCGGAGCCTCCATAGGCAAGTGCTTAGGTTTGGCGAATCTTGGCTTTATATTGGGGGGTTTGGGGTTCAGGGTTTCGGGTTTGGGGTTTAAGGGTTTGGGGTTTGGGGTTTGGGGTTTGGGGTTTAGGGTCTTGCAGTCCTGTGTTTGTGGGCGGGGATGTGGACGCAGGGTTGAGAGTTCAGGGCTATAAGCATCCTACATACTAAACCGTATTGGCCTTATACCGTAGAACATACACATTAAGCCCTAAATCCTACACCCAATGGGCAGTTTCCAAATGAGGGTGTGCCCGCTGTAAGTGCAAGGCGGCGGAGACTTGAGGGCTCAGGGCTGGGGAGTGGGGGAGTTGAAGAAGGTTCAACCCGACGATGAGGGATTAGGTTTTGGGGCTTAGGGTACCCTAAACCTTGGGTACTGCCCCGACCCAGTAACAGTCTACATTAGGGGTCCCTTGAGGCTATATATAAGGCTATATGGCTGTATATATATATAACCATATTATATTTATTATCCAACTGTTACTGAGTGGGAGCAGTATCCAACCTAAACCCTAAACCCTACCAGTAGCCCATAATTCTAGTCTACTTCCCCGAATTTCCTGTTACTTTGCGGAAAATGTAGCCCAATATTATGGGTAACTAGGCTTTCTAGGTAGAACCTATGGTTCTTGGAAAGGTCAGGGAGACCTCTGCATGTATACCCGCGCGATTTATGGTGTAGGGTCCCAACACTTCTATAAGCGATGCAATGACCCCAGTTCTCCCAATCATGAACCTACTTACTGAGTCCTCAGGACCCTAAACCCTAACTCGTTCCCTACCCTAAATCCCTAAACCCTAGATGATGATGTGGTAGGCTGTTAGGCGCACCTGCTAGATCCATAAGCAACCTTTACAATCCGCATATGGGGTTCCCCTAAAGGTATAGTTGGGGATAGTTGGGGCCCTAAACCCTAAACCCTAAACCCCAAACCCTTGTGCCCTAAACCCTAAACCCTAAATCCTAAACCCTAAACCCTAAACCCTAAAGCGGGTACGGGGATATGTTAAGGTTTAGGGCTTTCGGGTTCCACGGTTGGCGACATTGATGGTCCTTAGTTGG